GTAATTACAGCACTTGGGAGGCCTCAGCAGGAGAATTGCTACAAGTTTGAGGCCAGCCTGGGCTACATAGTGAGTTCAAGGCTAGCATGAACAGCATAGTGAGACCCTATCTCAAAACAACAAAAAGGAACATGCCACAATGGCATATAGTACAATGGCACCTCGGTTCATAAACTTAATTCTTTCCATTATTCTGGTTGCAAACCGAATTGGATGTGAACTGAATCAAATTCATTGGTTAGGTTCAGTGTTGACCTTATGGGGAAATTTGATTAAGTTCTTGTCCAACTTTTGCTACCAGAATAGTAGGAAGAATTAAGTTCATAAACTGAAGTACCACTGTTCCCCGGTTATATGTTCTTTTATATTTTCTCTCTTTTTTTTGTAGGGGATGCAAGTTACCCAAATATTACCCCATTAAGGGGGCTTTTTTGGCCAGAATTCCCTGGTTACGTGAATAGACCGGGGGCACTTGAGCCTTACTTTTGTTGTATAGATGCTCACCCATAAGGTTTGGTCCATAAATCCTTGAGCAGACCAAATTTCATTCTTTGTCCTTATTAGCCTTGATCTGAAGCCTGATTTTATTATGAAGAGTGAAGTAGAACCTAAGAAGCTGCAGTTAGGAACCCTTCCATAAAGCTATTGAGAGTTTGCTCCAGTGATGTGTGAGGAACAGGAAGGCTCCATAAGCCCGAGTCCCCCTCCGTCCCGGGGCAGGGTGTGTGAGCAGGACCCAGAAGGCCACTTCCTCCATCCGCTGGCTCAGTGGTGCCAGGGTACTTGCGTCAAGGAGCAAACACTATGTGATCTTCCTTGTCGCACTATTCATTTCCCAACTCAATGGCCTGGGAGTTGAGAAAATGACACTTTGAAGACCCTAAGAAAGAAAGTAGAGACCTGGATATGAACCAAGGGAAGGATTTCTAGTGCAGGGTGCAGGAGTCAGTGCAGTGATGACTTCAGAATAAGCTGGCCCTGAATTGGTCCTGAGCTTGTCTTCTTGGTCCCAAGGAGGCATTAGTTTGCTTTCATTTCACGTTAGCTGTTAGTACATGAATGAAAATTCTCATCTTAAATTGAAATAAGATATTTCTGTCTTAAATACAGCTCAGTAATGGTACATGTATGAAGGAGATATTATAGACAAGCAAAAAAGTTTAATACTATTTTTGATGTTGTATTTTGTTTTTGTTTTTCAACACTTAAGACTAAACCAAGGGCCTTCATACTGAGCTACATCTCCATCCCTTTTTTAAGTTTTATTTTGAGACAATGTCTTGCTGTATCACTACGTTGCCCAGGCTGGGCTCAAACTTGGGACCCTCCTGCCTCAGCCCTCCAGAGTGCTGGGGATACAGGTGTGTGCCACCATTCCTGGATTCACAATGTTTTGATTTTTTTTTAAGTGAGAAAATAAATAAATATATGTTTTCAGATCTTTTAATAATCAGTGGTTTCATCCATGGACAGCTTATCTCCTGGTTAAAAAGCCACATCCAGGAGCATCTCAGGGAGCTAGACAGAGGGAGGATGTGTTCAGACCTCAGCTCTGCTCCCTAAACTGGGGATTCTGGAGAAGTTATTCAGTCCCTTTTGTACTTCAGTTTTCTTACTGGCAAAAATTGGAACAACCATATCTACCTCACAGGGTTTCCCCAAAGACCAGGTATGTGAAAGGCTTAGCATGGTGTCTGATGCATAGTAAGCACTTGGTACCAAAAAAATTGTTATTATTGTTTTATTTTTGTGGTGCTACAGATCTAACCTGGGGCTTTGGATGTGCTGGACATACCCTCTACCACCAAGCTAGACCCACAGCCCTGGTAATTTTTTAAAGGAAGATGTCAAGAAGCTAAGAGTAATAGTGGGCTAAAAAAGCAGAAAAATGTTTTCTTCAGTTCCCTCTGATCCTTCTGTTTCTTCTAGCTTCTCTTTCATCTCTGAATTTACAAATTCCCTTTTCCTTCAAGATCCCAAATCAAGTACTACGTACTTCATGAAGCCTTTCAGTAACCTCAGTTAGAAGTGGTCACTTTCTTCATTTTTACCCTTTTTGTGCTCTCTGTCTCTCTCTGTCTCTCTGTTGTTGAAGTTACTCGCATAGCCTTGTCATCTGCCTTTAAATGCAGCTACCAAGAGCATGATTTTTATCATTCCCATTTTTACTCTGTCCTTACACCATGCCCTGGTGGCGTATGTAGTTACTGATGCATAAATGAAAGGCCACCAAGAGAACAGATGAGATGAGGTTCTCCTGAAGAGATGTTCAGTGGTGTCCTTTTCGTTAGGGGAACTAACGTGTAGAGCAGGTTTATTCACACTTGACCCCATTGAGTCTTTTCCTGGAATAACGTGTTCTAGTGTCATAGTTATCAGTGAGTGAATGTTCAAAGTGGAGGATGGAGAGCACTAATGTTTTTTCTTTCCTTTTGCTTTTCTTTTTTGGGGGGGAAAGGAGGAGAAAAGGTTACAAATAAGGGAAAGAAACCATTTTCCCCCCTAAGTCAGGTAGGAGTTATGGATAACTCCTGAATACCTGTACAAATGAAGTGATTAACTTTGCTACTCCAGAAAAAATTTTAATCCCAAAGTCATTTATTTTGGCTTTAGAGTAGACTAGCATTTGTGTTGGATTTTCCTGCCTAATTACTTTTTGCTTAAGCTTATTTTAAAATAGTTTTAAATTCCTTTAGTCTGTCAGGCTAGGAAGCAAGAGGTAAAGAAATGGGCCACAAATGGGGCCTGGACCAGAATCTCCCTTTCTTGTATCAAACCCTCCTGTGCACTGCTCATGGGAGAGCTGTGTTGGAGTCAGCTTTGTGTTGAACAATTTGGCAAAATGTTTTAAAGTCTTGAAAATATGCTTACTCTTTGATCCAAAAATGCCACTTGTAGAAATTTATCCCAAGGAAATAAACAAGCATGCAGTATGTAGAGACAAGGATATTCACCACAATATTTCTATCAGGAAAATAAGTAAAACCACCTTAAAAAAATTGAATAATACAGACTTGATTAAATAAAGTAGGCAGTTATCTCTGCATGGTATTATAGTTGTAGACTTTAGAAATATTTACACTGTCAGCTGGGGATTTAGCTCAGTGGTTCCATCGCCTGCCTCGAAAGCACAAGGTCCTGAGTTTGATCCCCAGTACCAAAAAAAGAAATGTTTACACTGTCTTGCTAGGTGGAAAAGAGATTGTATAGTAGAATGTACAGTATGGAACAGTAGCAGATGCAGAGAAAGGCGGAGGGGATGCTTCTAGAGAAACATGTTCTGCAGGGTTAACTTTAGTATTGTTGAGGGGTGAAAATTTGTGTTTTCAGGTTTTTTGCTTGAACCATGTAATGCTTTGACATTAGAAAAGGCAACTATCATTTTTAAAAGAATATATGTTTAATATGTCAATGAAAAGGTAGAGATTTGCTATATAATGTCCACAAAGTGACGATCTGGATGCAGATAATTTGGATTGCATGTGCTTTCTCAAGAATCACACCCATACATGTGAATTACCAACAGTCACACTGAATACATCGAGTCAGGTGTACCATGTTTAAATTCTGTTTCCCAAGTGAAATAACCACACTCAGTTGACATCTATGAAGTCATAATTAGACTGCAACATGGGTGCCCTGTTTTCTGATACCAGAGTATGGAGGTAGAATTGTCTTCAGCTAGAAAAAGCCCAGCTTGCACAGCTATGAAGGCCAGTCATAGTCGTGTGCTGCATGGTGACATTTTAATCAAGAACAAACCACATACACATCCGTGGTTCTGTATCACTAGTGACATTCTAGTCTTGTTAGTTTCTGGAAGTATACTATGTGCTGTTCCCACACTGACAAAATTGCCTAACAGTGAATTTTTTGGAACACATTTGCATCACTAGGTGATACCTGACAGTATGTGTAAAAAATTGTGTTGCTGAAATAGCATTATAATACCAGGAACTTTATATCACTCTGGATCTACTGAAAGAAATTCTAGTAACTATTTTTTCTTTTTTAGCAATACCAGCAATTGAACCTAGCATCTTTGCACTGAGCTATATCCTAACCTTTTTTCTTACTTATTTTTACTTTATTTATTTTGAGACAAAGTCTCACTGAATTGATCAAGTTAGGTTCAAACTTGTGATCCTCCTGCCTCAGCCTCCCAGAGTTCTGGGATTACAGGCATGCACCACCATGCCAGGCTGACATTTTGTAGTGTCTCTCTTTAACTCCTCCACCCTACCCCCTTCATGGGGACTAAACCCAGGCCCTTGCATGTATTAAGCACATACTCTACCATTGAGCTGCATCTCCATCCCTTTCTTTAACTTTTCATTGTCGTCAACTCAGAACTCTACATCCAAAGTCCAAGTGGGGAAAGAGTTAGGAAGTATATGGTAAATGATGAAGACAACCACAAACCTCTGATGACCCCCAGATAATGCTTGGCTTACATGTGAAAGAACTCTGCTTTATATGATCAGCTGCAGAGGAAATTGTTTCTTCACTGTTTGTAAGCCTTAGCCCTGTACACATCATAGAATTCTCTTTTATTTGTAATCCCAGGATTCCTAGGATACCATATGGCTTCCCTGAAGGAAAGGGCTTGCAGGTCTGGCTCCCTGTCGTCTAAGGTCAGATGGAAAAGTCTTTTGTGATTAACTCAGCCACAGTGTGTCCTTTGGTATTTGAAACGTCAGTAGGAGTTTTTGATTAGTTCTCCAAGTTTTGAACGCTGACCCAGATAAGCTTAATGTAATGGAAAACGCAGATAAATCTAGCTCTTTCGATGCCAGATTGAATCCCAGTTCTCCCACTAGCTGTAACCTTGTCAATTGGATCAATATGTAAGAATCTCAGTCTCTCATTGAGTTAGGAGAGTGGGTCCTTCCTGCTCACCTCACAGGGCTGTTCCTTGTAAACTGTGAAGCCCTATTCCCTTGAGGGACTGATGCAGGCCTTCATAAACACACTACCTTCTCCTGATTTGTTTCTGGCAGTTTCCTTATGCCGCCCCGCCTCCCCAAGAACCTGTGAAGACACTGAGAAGCCTGATCAACATCCGCAAGGACACGCTGAGACTTGTCAAGTAAGTTCCTGGGGGGCTGGAGGCTGGAGCCAGGTCCCAGATGCCCTCCTGGAGGAGCAGGCCCAAGTCCTGCTGCCTAGGCCTCAAGGATGTCAGCTGCAGGTGCTGCCAAGGCACTCCGCCAGCTTAGATTTGGACTCTCTGCACCTGTTCTTCAGGTTTCATGCACCAGTGGGAAGAACTTTCATTTGCCTACACTTGGTCAGTGTTATCCCTATTTTGTAGATTAAAAAAAGAAAGCATTATTGAGGCAAAGGGGAACTTTGCAGACAGCCTAACACACCAGTGTAATAATGAGGTGTTTAAACTTGCAATATGAAATCCTTCTTATCGCTTATGTTTACTTTTTTTATTCTGTTTTGTTTTTTTGAGTCAAGTTCTCACTGTGTTGTTCGGGCTGGCCTTGAATTCACTATATAGCCCAGGCTGGCCTCGAACTCAAGGTGATACTCCTGCCCCAGCTTCCCGAGTGCTGGGATTACAGGTGTACAATACCACACCTGACCTATGTTTACTTTTTATTCCTAATTTTATGTGCGTTTTATCTAAGGAACCCATAGTACCCTGGGTTGGTTGGTTGATTCTCCTTGTCGGTATTGTCATCCACATTCACCTTCTTTGTGCCATCCTGAGATACTATAACTTTTAATCTGACTCTGTCCCCCCCCCCCCGCCATTATATCCACTATGGCTCTCCGGTAACCTGGGGAGACAAATTTGCTTAGAACAAACCAGTTTGCTGAATAGACAAGGGAAACGCCTAAGAGTCCGTTTTACACTAGAGGTCAGCCTTATTAACATTAGGAAATGGGGCCGGGGATTTAGCTCAGTGGTTTCGTCGCCTCCTTCGCAAGCACAAGGACCCGAGTTCAATCCCCAGTACCAAAAACAAAATAAAACATAACATTAGGAAGTTCTCTCTGATGGGGGCAGGTGCTGAGGATAGAATCCAGGGTTGCTGTACTAATGAGCTACATTCCTAACCCTTTTATTTCTGTGTTTTGAGACAAGGTCTTGCCCAGGCTGGACTCAAACTGGCTGTCCTCCTGCCTCAGCCTCCCAAATAGCTGGGATTACAGGTGTGCACCACCATACCTGGCTGATAATTCAATGCACCAGATTGTTGAGGTAGTATTCATATACCATAGAATTTAGTCATTTAAAGTGTACATTTCACTGTTCAATATAGTTTTGGAAACATTAGCCACAGCAATTAAGAGGAGAAAGAAAAGGAATAAAGATAGGAAAGGAAGCAGTTAAACTGTCATTATTTGCTGACGATATGGTACTCTACATTGAAGACCCAAAAAACTCTGCCAAAAGACTTCTAGACTTAATTGACAGACACAGTAGAGTAGCTGGATACAAGGTAAACATTCAGAAATCAGTAGCCTTCTTGTATACAAATAACAGTCTCACTGAGAGAGAAATTAGGGAAACAATCCCTTTCACAATAGCATCCAAAAAAATGAAATATCTAGGAATCAATCTAAGGAAGGAAGCAAAAGACCTCTACACTGAGAACTACAGCACTCTGAAAAAAGAGATCAAAGAGGATATAAGAAAATGGAAAGACATCCCTTGTTCTTGGGTAGGAAGAACTAATATAGTGAAAATGGCCATACTTCCAAAGCTGCTATACAGATTCAATGCAATCCTGATTGAAATCCCAACAGTATATTTCACAGATGTAGAGAAAACAATCCAAAAATTCATTTGGAGCCAGAAGAGACCTAGAATAGCAAAAGTAATTCTAGGCAACAGAGACATGGCAGGGGATACCATACTGCAAGGCCACTGTGATAAAAACAACATGGTACTGGCAAAGAAAAAGACCCAAGGATCAGTGGAATAGACTAGAAGATACAGAAACAACTCCAGACATACTCAGCTACCTCATCTTTGACAAAGGAGCCAA